GCATCATTTCATAATACATTCATAAAAAATGTAGGGAGTTTAATCACTTCTATTCGAGATAAAACTTGATTTTGGTAGCTAATTTTGGACATTTTGATGTTCTATAGTCGACCCCTATGGCGGACAAGGTCAGAATTGGCAGCATAATGCGCCATCACCTGGTGATCATGTTGCGACAATACCTCCTAAACCTTTTCCACCACCTGTCGGTTTGGCAAGACCACCGTACTCGCCCATACAAGCTCCTTCATCTCAACCACCTCCACCTCCACCTCTGGCTCCTTACACGAGCAGCAGTGGAGGTTCTGGTTCGAACTATTCTGGTCTGGAAACTAAACTTCCACCGCCTTCTGCGGGCATGGCTTTAGGTTTTCTAAGAGCACATTTTCATATGAAGAATTAGCTATGGCAACAGATGGCTTCTCGAACGCCAACCTTCTTGGTCAAGGTGGTTTTGGTTATGTGCACCGAGGAGTTCTTCCGAATGGTAAAAAGGTTGCAGTTAAACAGCTTAAATCTGGAAGTGGACAGGGGGAGCGTGAATTTCAGGCTGAGGTCGAGATCATCAGTCGAGTGCATCACAAACATCTCGTTTCTTTGGTTGGATACTGCATCACCGGGACCCAAAGATTGCTCGTATACGAGTTTGTTCCAAATAATACCTTGGAATTCCACTTGCATGGTTAGTTTTTTCAACATATCTTACTCTGTATTAATTTTTCTTGGCCTTAAAATCAGAATTTTTTTTAATCCCGTCACTTTATGATTACATTTAAACTCCCGCAAAACTAACTTGTCTTTAACACATATCAGGAAAGGGGAGACCTACAATGTATTGGCCCACGCGGTTAAAGATTGCTCTTGGTGCTGCGAAGGGTCTGGCATATCTTAATGAAGATTGTAAGTAGTCGTTAATGTACATAAGCGCATATTCCAAGCAATGGAAAAAATGGGTGTATTTTTATTGTCCTTTAAATTTGTTTTGATTCCAAATTATTATTTTCTGTATACAGGTCATCCAAAAATTATTCATCGGTATATTAAAGCATCTAATATTCTTTTGGATTTTAACTTTGAAGCGAAGGTAAAGGCTTGTTGGGTTATGATTCAAGTAATATTGGCAATTTTGTCGACTCCATCAGAAAAATTTGAGATTTTTCTCCTGCCTTTGATGATATGATCTAGTCACCTTGATTTGTATAATTTTCATGTAATAGAAATAGATGAGTTTGTTTGTGTAATTATGGTGATAAATGAATGCCATTTAATTTCTCAGGTCACAGATTTTGGTCTCGCAAAGTTTTCTTCGGACACAAATACTCACATTTCCACAAGAGTGATGGGAACATTTGGGTAAGCTTGATATTTCTCCACTCGGTAATTAATCAATCTTTTAATCGTTCAACTGTAGACATTATTGTTAAAGTATCGATTTTGGAGTTTCGAACTTCGTGCTTGTTATTACTGAAATATCTTACGATTTTTTAGGTCCATCTTGTTACATTTACATCGTGATATGCAGGTATTTGGCTCCTAAATATGCATCCTCTGGGAAACTTACTGAGAAGTCCGATGTATTCTCCTTTGGAGTCATGCTTCTCGAGTTGATTACTGGACGTTGACCTGTTGATTCAAATCAATCTTTCGTGGATGATAGTTTGGTAGACTGGGTGAGTAGTCACTTACACCATGATGTCTCTCTCTCTCTCTCTCTACCTGCCTTTTTTTTGGGGCCGTCTTTTCTCATTAGTCGCTTCATGAGCCTAGATAACTTGTGTATTCT